ATAACGTTACTTTTTAAATCATACATGCTCACTCTTTTAATGTACTAATGATAATATTAAACTATAAAAAACAGATATTAAATTTATCATCGAAAATATCATAAAGAAAAGTTAAAATCACTTTCCCCCTCTATTAATTAAAACAAAAACAAAAACCCAAATGATGAATGGTAATAATGAACCCAAAATATACATATCAGTATAATAAAGAAATCTTAGTCGACTTTGAAATTAAGAACTGTTGTTTGATAAGTCCTTTGTAATAGGAAAATTAATAATATTTTTTCTACTTTTATCATTTAAGGATTAACATGTATACTACTATTAGTATACATGTAAGGAATACATGTATACTAATAACAACTACAGGTATACTTAATAAAAGACGACGAAACACCATTTTAAAGGGCATTTTTATTCAAATAACATATTTATAAATGAAGCGTGCAATGCCATAATGTTGTAAATGCAAAAAAAAAACTTTTCAGGAGAGGTAAAAATCATTTTTTCTAATGAATGAATTTATTTCAATTTTATAATAAAATGGTAAAAAACTAACTAGATTATAAATTCTCTGGAATATCAAAATGATGTAAATATAAGCCGCAACGTTTTACGTGCCAAAAGTGACATGACTTGCACTCTGGCACTTTAATTACGTATAAAGTTTTAGGGTGGAGAGGAGGTAGAAGATTGTCTACGTGGACTTTTTTAGTGGTGTTATTGGCGTGTGAATTTGTTCTTATAAACCTATTGCTAGTCGTGTGAATAAATTATCAGAAAATATTTGAAGACGTTTTTTAAAGCCATTACTTCAATGTCGGAAGTATCCACTAACCATTGTGTACCTAATCAAAAGTAAAACATTGTACACAACAGATAGGGAGGAAGTCGAAATTAATAAACCGGCCCCGAAGATGCAATTACAGATCAAGATTTAAACAGAAAACAATCCAATCACCAGGAACAACGGTCTTCCACTGAAAAGAACTTTCTTTGGAGGATAGATAACCTGTGCAAAAAAACATGCAAAACAATCTTAAAGTTTTCCGGTGAACTCTTTAATAAATAAATTTTCATTTTGTGTGAATAGGGAACATAAAAAAAAATCTAAAACTCTGTACTGTAATAACTTTTTCCTATACGAATTTTTCAAAGTAACTTAATTTATATATTCAAACGTATATACAGGTATACCTCGACTTACGTCGTTTCGAGTTACGTCGTTCCCGATTATACGTCGTTTGTCAAAAAAGTATATGGAAAAATAAAAATCAAGTTTAAGTCATTTTATTCGACTTTACGTCTGTCCGCCACAAATATTGAAGTCGTAATATCACTAGAAAAGCGTTTAAAGCACATAAAATCATATTAAAATATATACATTTACAAGTATGTACTGTATTTACAGTACATGCATTCGTAAATTTAGATTACTTTTTTCTGTACTATATTAAAAACTAAAATGTATTTGTTTGTAAGCTTAAAATAGATCCTTATTAACCATATATTATAAAAAATGCATTAATAAATAAAATACAGAACCGGGAATGGTAATTTATGGTTTAGCCTGGTGACAAGTAGATTCGGAGACAAGTAAACTCGACTTACGTCGTTTTTCGACATACGTCGCTTTCCTGGAACCAATTACCGACGTAAGGCGAGGTATACCTGTATACTTAATAATATTTTAAAAAATAATTGATTACAATAACTCAAGTACATAAAATTGTAGGAAAGAATAGCTTTTGATACTTTATTAAGAAAGAAAAATATATTTTATTCAACAATTAATAGTGTTAGCGTAATTATTTCTTATAAATTAATATAATATTATTGCATTTATATTTCTGTTTTCGATGTATACCATTTTGTTCACGACGCGTTTTCGGATTTATTGCCAATTATTTGTAACATGACTGGCAGGCTGCCGGATTTCAACGAACTCGGGTAAAGGTTATACATATAACACATAGGAAAGATGGATGGGAGGCCGATAATGTCTCGCTTGGAACGATGGTCACGGACAGACCACTTTCTGCTGTCAATGTTACAAATACTGTATAATTTTAATTTGTGTGAACTTTATAACAATAATGTAATCGACACGTGTTTAAACTGCAGGAACAAGGACTCTCTCCCCATATCTCCTTTGTGTATTGTAGCGATATCCAAACTACAACCACATGCAAAAAATTTGACCCGCAAACATATTTGACACATCGCTTAAAAATGTTTTATATAGTCCATATATATAAAATATTTGTGGCCTGCCTACTTATGACTTACTGGCATACCACTTTAATCTGTTCATGCCCGAAAATAGCTGGAAAACGTAAGCATTCCTTCGACTTCACCCATTGTTAAAAGCGCATCGATTAGTTCAGCAGATTAACTATATCAGCTAATTCATTCTGGTTTTTATAAAATACATTACAAAATGTACATTTATGCAACAAATACATATTTATTTATTGTATTTTATTTTTCAAATGTTGCTAAAAAATTATTTTTTAATCTGTTGTAGTTACGATATTCATAATATATTTTTAAATATATATTTATTTGAAATGATGCTCAATTTCAATGTCCACACAGCAAATAGGGTAGAAATGCTGGTTAACATAAAACCACAAGTCGAACACTTCCCAAGCGTTTAAGACTGTGTGATATACCTTCGAATGATGTGAGCAGATCCAAGTAAGGTGGCCTTTTGCAACTGACAGATAGTAATTTTGTCAATATTTATGGCTTGTAGGTGCTGACTAAGATCTTTTGGCACAGCCCCCAGTGTGCCGATAATCACTGGGACCACCTGTACTGGTTTATGCCAGAGACGTTGCAGTTCAATTTTTAGGTCCTGATATCGGCTAAGTTTTTCTTGTTGTTTTTCGTCAATTCTACTGTCACCCGGTATGGCGACATCTATAATCCACACTTTCTTCTTCTCCACAATCGTGAAGTCTGGCGTATTATGTTCCAGAACTTTATCAGTCTGGATCCGGAAGTCNTACTTTTCGTTTCCTCGCTCAAAGGGTCATTCGGATCGCGTCGTCCATTTCTCTGGTGTGACTGTAATTACGCCGCTGTTCTGAAATTATTTACAAATTGTCTTTGATAAATTTTTAACGGTGTAAAGAAATCGGTATGATACGGAATAATTCTTAAAAGTCTTGTAAAATACTTTCAAGAACGTGAGTTATTTGATATTATATCACGATTTTTCGAAAGAGGAGTTAGCCCCGGACAATCGAGTAGTTTAAGCCCATTGCTCTGGAATCCCGTTATATTTTTACATAAATTCATCTTTAAAATGCAGCCACTTACGCTGCCAATATCGCCACAATATTCTTTTGTGACAGAAAACATTACATTTAGAATTAATTCTTCAATAAAACATATTTAGAAAAAAAATGGCATTTACAACATTATGGCATTGCACGCTTCAAATAAATATGTAGTAAAAAATGTAGCAAGTTAAATTTATGTAGCCCAAAAAGTAGTCAATGCGCCAAATGATATTTTTTACGCCAAACTGAAAAACGGGTAGCCAAATTTGCCACAATGTAATCTAATCTGGCAACTCTATTTCGTTCTTCTCTTGCCGACGTCACGTGCACATGATGTTTTAGCTGTTCGACCTTGTTGTGTAGGTAGTTTTTTTTTTTAACTCTTTCCGCCCTTTGGTCACTAGGAGGGCCTCTTTTTTTTGCAAGCCCATTATGGGTTCGGCCAGACCCACAATGGGAATGTCGGGTGGTGAGGGACGGGGTCCGACATATCCGAACGGACTACCGTCGAAAAATTCCTGGGGTTTTTTCGATCCGTTCGGATTCGAAGCTAGGTCCCTCAGAGCTGTAGGCTGCCACCGTGACCGCTCGGCCATCCGGCCGCGTTTTGTAGGTGGTGTTGACTGTACACGAATAGCATAATCAGTAGAAATCTATTACATTTAACTTGCACTTGTAATGAGATTAAATTTTTTCTTATTTCAATACAGTATAATAAATGGGCGCCAACTCGAAGGAACCGGAAGTTAAAGAATAAAAATAATTTTTATTTTTCAACTTCGAGGCTTGGCACCAATTAAACTATTAATTTATAATTTATTATTAAGATAAGAAAATCACAGACTTTAATTATTTAATTAATAAAATTATAATTCGATTAAGAAAACTTTTTAATTGAAATAATTTCTCAAAACACATGTTATCCGAAGCACCCCGTGTGTTCAAAAAGGCCGCGTTTCTATATGCAGCGCTCGAGAAGCGCTTTACAGCGAACCCTCTGAAACCAGTTTCTAAATGCAGCGCTGCAATGTAGCGAACCGTTTCTAAACGTTTGATGCAAGAGGTCGCTGCAGCGAAGATAAAGCAGCTTTTACGTCCGCTACACGTGTAAAGCAAAATGGACGCTTGTGTGTATAATACGATATTATGCTGTAAAAATAAAAAAGTCGAAGTGACTGTTGATAAAAATATTATGGAAAGATTAAGAAGGATTAAATTTTATGAAATGACTCTGAAAGTTATCTAAAGAATAAGAAAATACTATATTTTAAATATAATTATATATCTTTTATCTCTTTACTTTGTTCACATTTATGGAAAGATAAATGCTCGATTCTTTATATCTCTTTATTTAAATATTGTAGTTCTTTAACTAAAGCACTATTTTCGGCTGTAACTGGAATTAAAGGATAGATTATGACGTCCATGTTTCGCTCGAGCGGAAAGCGTTTCTAAACTATGATGCAGCAACGTGTAGCGATAGCTGCTCGTGACGTCATTTACGCTGCACTCTCGCTGCATAAAGAAACGCAGCCAAACAAAATTATATAAATTATTCTGCATTTGTGATTTGATATTTCTAAATTTATAAAAAAAAATATATTAAATATACTTGTAAATAATTCTAACTAAAACTATTTTGAAATAATTCAAAAATGAAATCATTAAAAATTGTGCCTTATATTTATGGATCCATTTAAATATTCGAGGCGCCCTCTTTTGGATAGATACTGTAACGTGTCGTCTGTGTGTTATTTCTTTTTTAATTAATTTTTTTGAAAATGGTAAGTTAAATAAGCATTTAAAAATATATAAATTATAAAATAAGCAACATATATCATTTGTCCGAGTATATTATAAACTGTTTCAGTTAATATTTCAGAAAAGAATAAAATAAAATAAAAATCAAGTTTATTTAATAAAAGTTATAATTTACAAGCAATATTATAGATTCTATGCAGACTTTACAGTTCAATTTAACCATATTCTTCATTAATACAATACATCATACACTTAACAACAGTAGTCACATATCAACATGATAATACATGTTTACCTTTAACTCTAATTAATTACAGTTATTGAGTTTGATATGTTATTACAGTGATATAAAAATATATTAATGTTAACTGACTTCTGACAGTTGCTATGAGCAAAAAATTTAAATCCACATGATATATTTTGAACCCTACTGTTAAGACTAGCTTTGCTGGCAATATTGGCTTTTAATAATGTTTTATAGAGAGAGTTGGCACCTGCTAAGATTATAAGTCGTCTATATACGAACTGAGATGCCTGCTACAATGAAATATATGGGTCTACGGATACAGTTCTTAATCTGCATGTTCTGATGTTTAAGAGGAAGTCAAAGTTTGGGATCTGGGATGCTCGATGTGAAAAATGGGTCATTTTTCCTTAGCTGCATGCTTCCCAAAGAAGATACTTGACTTACTCTGTTAAGATTGATTGAAAAGACTTGCAGAAAACATTAATGAACACTTTATGGCACAAAAATTGACATTTATGATGATTATTATTTTCTATGCACGACTGTAATTTCATATGGGGTCTTTAGCACACTAATGTCTAAAAAATTCCAGTTTGTATAATACAAGTATGTCAGATTATTATTGTGCAAATCCATTTTATTGGCTACTTTTCAGAGGATACCGGTGACTGTACTGGACATTCTGGATTATTGGAAGCTATCATCTATGGGGTTATTTTGGGAGCATATTGGTATGATATGCTGGTAGATAGTATAGAAGTACTGATAGCCAGTACATAGTTACCGACATTTGTTTAATAAGAAAAATTTTATATGCTCAGGTGATAAGTCTGGACTGTCACAATAAAACCAAACAAAATGAACTAAGTTACTTTGTTGGCCTTAACGAATGCCTTTGCCAATTGCAGCCAACATAAAAAGCAAATGGGTAGAGACTCCCCTTTTTGTCGAAGACTGTCTCTTAATGATTGGACAATACCGTCTGATACTTGTCCATCCTCTCTGTTGTTGCTGTCAATAAACAAGGTACAGAGAAGTGGTATTGATAATACCAGTATTTCGAAAGGGAAGGTAAAATTGTTGTTACTAAAAGGGCACCATTTAGCACCTGGGACTAAATCAAAAATGAGAAATTAGGAAGAATGTGCAGATGAAGATAAATACTTTCTGCTAATTTCATGACATTTATGTGTGTCACTCATTGTTGTGTTTCCACATGGCAATTTTAATTCAAGATCATCCTTTTGATTTTAGAAAGTTAAGGCATACAAATTAATTTAAATAAGTAGCAGACAAGTTTTAAGTAATTTGAAAAGCTTATAATGAGAGCAAAGTGGAGAAAGAAGAGAATGAGGAAGTTAAAGAGAAAGCAAAGGAAGATGAGGGAAATGTCTAAGTAGAAAGGAAGAAAAGAAGGGTACAGTTATCTGAAGATCCAAGAAGTCTGTTCTGGCTTTCCTCCTAAGATGTAATTGGTTTTATATGAACTGTACCAAAATTTCTTAGTTATTCTAAGAAATGTTTCTCATTGTAATATGGAAAATATGGAATGTATCTACTTGAATCTTAATATATTAATATGGAATAATAGTCTTAAATTTTTACTTATGCTGTGCTTTAGGAATGCAAGCTACATATAAACTGCAACCTTTCCATCAATAGACTTTATCTTTTATTAAAAAAAATCTTAAAGCAGTTCAAGGAGTCAGATTGCAGTTTATTTTAGACTTAAGCTAAACCAAACTATATTTTGACTGATTGAATTGTATAATGTTTCTGTTTCAAGATTCACTTGATAATATAATACAAATAGTTTCAACCTGTTGTTGTAAAATTGTAATTGTTGGAATACATTTTTATTTGATAGACTTGAAATCTATCAAATAAAAATTATGAAACAAAACTTAAAAATTGATTAAAATATAATTTTTAATCAATTTTAAATGAATTTTTCTACTTTATTTTTACCTAAATAAAAGAATGTAAAATTTTATTGTGTTGAGATATAATACAGTTCATTGAACACATAATATTATTATTAATTAATTGATTTCAATTATTTATATTATATAGGATCTGTCTGCCTTTTCAAATGACAATTTTGATGCTAAGGATTGGATTAATTCAACATTTCAATTGCCGGAAGCAAAAGAAAATAAGGAGGTAAATTTATATGTTTTTAATTTTAAAAATTATTAAGATTGTTTATAAATATATTAATATAATAATATATTATTAGGCTTATTCTTCTACTTTAGTAATGAAACTTCAGCTTTTTATACAAGTAAGTAAGAAATATTGACATTATTTAATATGAACATACTAATTATAGATTCAGTTTGTTTGAAAAGTTACAAATGATAGAATATAAGGATTGGTAATTTAATAATGAGAAATATGTAAATACATGGAATGTTATATTGGAACTGTTTAGGTCAATTTGCAGTCCTTCAATATACTCTTCAGCATTGTCTGTTACCTCTTGCCATTGATGTGAAAGTCAGAGGATGCTGTCAGCGGCCCCCAGATTTGCTGATGATCTTTATGGAATAGTCTGTGAAACACTCTTGAATTGTCCTAAAGTTGAAGTGCTTGGAGAGATTCCTTCATCTTTAGAAACAAATTGAAATCAGAGAGTAATTTCTGATGAGTAAGGAGGTGATACAACAATTCCCAACCCCATTGACAGAACAAGTCCATCACAATGGGTGTTTTGCAAAATAATGGGCAGATTAGTCCAAAAGTGTGACTGATTCTTCTGCAAGTCTAGTTGTAGATTGTGTTGCATAAAATTTGCATAAAACTGTGCATTGATGATCTACCTAGGGTTATTCTTGGTTAGGATAACATCATCACAGTTATATTCAACAAAGATCATTGCCTTTACGTTACTGGGTGCTTATGTGTAAATATGTGGCAATACTCAATGGCATGCCATGACATTTGATGATAAGGAAGCTGTGTTTCTGTAAGAACCTGACTTCCAGGTTCTTCCAGGCAATTAGTTAATTGTGAGTCAGTGATGGTCTAGGATCATTCGTATTCGTTTGTTCAATAAGCCAGTAAAAACCATTGACTTCTCTAAATGTATTTTTAATACCACAATTACATACTGAATCGCTAGCCATGATATAAGGGCTAAAATTAAAAATGAAATTATAAAAACTCTGTGAAATAAAATGTATGGTGGATATACACATACCTGGTACAAAATATTCTTTAATTGTATGAAAATACTTTTAAAGAAAATTATAATTAAATATAGCTTTGTAAAGAAACGTACAGTAGATAAAAAATAACATAAAATATTCTTTACTTTTTAAATCTTAAAACAATCCACTTAGTCAAATAACTCCCTATGAGTGACTAATGTATGGAATCAGAGATGGTCCTGGTAGGTGTGCAGTGCCTGCATGCATGCATGCAGGCTGCCAAATCCCAAGGGTGCTGATACCAGTCAATGTTAAATGCCTCTTTTGTTGCATCACTAGTATACCTGAAAGGATGCGACAGGGTTGTTGTACATTTTAAACGTTTCTCGTCATAGCTGTAAAAATCTAAATATGTTAAACTTAATAGATTGTTCATCATTTGTTTTCTAACTAATTTGTTTTAGGACCAGGTGGCCACAGAAATTTCCCAAATTTACAACTTTGCAGTCACTTTCATTGAACTGGAAAAATTTCTGTCTTTATTACATCTACTATTACAAAGAAATCAGTCTCCACTGTACTTGGCAAGAGATTGGTTCAGTTAAGCTTTTAAGTAAAATTCCAGCTCTTTCAGCAGGGTTTTATTTATGTCCCTAATTCCCTAATCTCTTAATTATTTAACTACTACTTAAGTAGAAATAACTGGTTACTTTGTACTTGAATATTTGTAGTCTTGGGAAAGAAGTGGAAAGACAAATTTTTATGACAACAGATACATATATCGTAAATTTAAGAAATATAAATTCTAGAGCTTTTTTTGTACCTTCTGCATCTCATTCATTAAATTTAGTTATAAATGATGCTGCCAAAGTAACAGTTAATTTTTTAACATTGTACAAGAATTGTGCATGTTTTTTCTGCATGCCCTTAGATGGGACATACTAAATCGTAATATCACTAGTTTAACATTGAAATCTGTAAGTAATACAAGATGGGAGAGCAGAATAAAAATATCAAATATTTTATGGATTTTTTTTTAAACTCCTGTCAACTATATAGAACTATCATAAAAACATACCAATAATTTCCTATCTGTTGGGTTAAGTTATAAATTTACTTGCAATTCACATAATGGGGCAAGGGTGGCCAAATATCTAGCAGGCAAATGGCTAACAACCCAGAACTGCTCCTGGATATAATCATTGGAAGTGTTATACAATATTTTGGTGTGTAGCATCCACCAGCTAAATTGCAAGGTTGGTGCTCTGTAAAGTGCATGTGCAAATACGTATAATCTGGCTGTTTTACACCATTCAAATATTTTCACCATGAAAGTTGTCCCATATTCGACAATACAGTTCTTCCATTCCACCACTGATATTCGAATATACAATAGCAATCTTATCGTTTTTTTCACATGTATAAAAATTTGTAATAAGATACATAATGCGGTTATAATAAAATATTAATTTTAATTAATTTAAAGTGTGTTAAAATATGGCAATAGTCGCACAATATGTATTTATATTTTAGAAAATACAAGGGAAGCGGTGCTTCCACCACTTCCAAGGATGGCATGCCACTGCTGTGTAATAACTGTCCTCTTACAGAGCACTTCCACAGAAGAGTCAGTCACATAGATTGGTCACAGTCCTCTAATCATGTACTTTGAATGTTTGCAGCAAGCAAAGAGAACTTGGAAATTTAAAAAAAATTAATGGCATTTCTAGATGGTCTCTTAGATGGACACCTTTGCAGACATGCCAAACAGGACCTCTTCCATATAAGAGGAGGGATCTCACTGTCTGTTACATTTATAGTCAAATTCTTTTAACTCTTTAAACATAGGCATTATTTTTAGTCTAATTTTGTCCATGGAGATAATTGCACAAATAAAATGTTTTTTAAAATTGTATATATTTTTTGAATTTATGATAGAATCAATTTGTTTTTATTTTTAATTAAACATTATACCTAATGATCAATATTATTTTGGTGTGATTTTATAATATTAAAATGTTAACATGAAAATTGCAAATTATTAACATTTTTAAATTATTTTTTAAATCTAGTTCTATTTACTTTGTTAGACAGTTAGCCGTGATTTTTTACTTTAAGAAACAAACTGTGTCCTGTTTACAATAGAACCATAGTTAGAAAGGTTTTAAGTGAATGATCTTTTTCCCCTGAGAGTATCAAGTTTCAACCATGCTAATGCAGCATGTGATGTGATGATTAGTGAAAAAAGTTTAAATTGCATTAATCAAAGGTCAACTGTATATTTTCGTTTTATAATACATATAATGAAAGAAAAACATTAATAAAAAATAAATGAAATCAATAAAAACAGCAAAAAGTGTTACTATGTTGTTCAACATGGAAATAAAATGCCGTTTTAGCAATTTGGTTAATTCTCCATGACATTAACTCCTGTAAAATGGAAATGATTGAACTTTCCACTGGATGAAATCAGTGCAGCTATTTGTAGATATTGTAATGGTGGGGACCAGTTCTCTGATGAAATCTATGTAAAACTTGTATTGAATGTGTGGTTCAATTGAACTTTATGTTTATTAGAAAACAGGTTTATAAATAAAATATATATTTAATTAACAGTTTTAAAATATTAAAAAGTTGGCTCTATCTTGTATCCATAAAAATAACTACTTTTAAACCTATTTAGATGAATCCATTCATAAGGAAAGGGTTGTAAAAAACAGGTCAAGTTAACTCATCTCCAGTTATTGAAAGGTTAAAAGTATCATCTTCATCTTCTCTTCATCTGTTTTATTTGGCACAAAATGTGCCGCATGGTTATGCATAGCATTACCAGGCAGCAGATACAATATAGATTGGCAGAGGGTACATAGGTGAATTACATAAAATACAAGTGCAGAAAACTGCATACAATAAGTAATAATCATAAAAATGGAGGATACATGTGAAAAATATAGAGATAGACAAAAATTTCTACATTATATACAGATGGTGAGCATGAAATACATATAATGGTAGTACATATAATGCATATTTACATAAGGCATTTACAATAGTAAAAAAGAGGCAGCAATGACAGAAACAGATAGTGAGAACTAAGCTGCAGTACAATAGTGATCTTGTTGTACATGGCAATTAACTGCTTGAAATAGGATAAATGTTCTTGTTGTTTATGAGATGCTTGCACTTGCATGGCTAACTCTCCCCATTGTCCAAGATGGCGAACCTCAAGAAGTGGCGAGGCATGGAGAGCATGGGACAATGGAATATGTAGTGCAGCGGAGTATCAGGAACATCGCAGATGGTGCAGAGATTACTATTATGTAGAGTGAACCTGTGGAGGTAGTTGAAGAAGCAACTGTGACCAGTGAAGAACTGGGTTGTAGTTAAGTCCAGTATGATCCAGGTGGTGTTAAACAGATCCTTAATAATAGGGAAGAACTGGTAGCAGGTAGAATTGTGATTAATATCCCATTGATGTTGCCATATTTGTAGTAGGTTTTCCCAAAGAATATGCTTAAGATGAGAAGGAGATAATTTATCATAGGTCTCCTCTACCTCTGGGTCAGCAGCAGCAGCAGACTTTGCCAAGAAATCTGTACACTCATTGCCAATGGTCCGATATGAGCCTTAGTCCAGGTGATGGAAGTAGCTGTTGTTGGAGTTTACAATGATGCTATGAATGTCATTGGTAACAGGGTGGAGGGAATGACTGTGAATAATCCTGGTAGCAGACTGATTGTTGGTAAAGATAGAGAAGTGCTGATTATTGTAGTTCAAATCTGTCCATTGTATAGCATGCAGAATGCCAATTAGCTCAGCTTGAAATATACTGCAGTGAGATTGTAACCGTTGCTGCTTGGAGAAAATTTCAAGATTGTTTTGTTAGACAACAAACCTGCAGCCAGTACCCACAGAGGATTTAGAGCCCTCCATAAATACATTAAAACAGTTGTTGGTGGCTGGAGCTGTCATGTGGAGCTTGATGAGGGTAGGGTTCACAGAAGCATAGAGGGACATAGGAGTCTCAATTGAATTGGCTGTAATACAGATAGAATCGATGTTGAGACTATTGCCCTGCATCAACTTCACCTTGTTGGATAACATATTAGTAACATTTATGGGTGGTTTTTGGAGATAACTTGCAGGGTTAAGAGCAACACAATAGAATACTCTAGGAAGCATAGAGCTGCATACAATTTAGGTAAGGGGAGAGTTAGATGTAGATATGAGGAAGGCAAGGAGAGCCTGGACTGCCAATGTGAAATTGAGTCTGTCTAAGCTCAGTCTAGCTATATATTCTGATATCTTCACTGACATGTAGAAATTGCTGTAGCACAGCTGCTGATTAAATCTACACATTATGTAAGAAATGGTAGTTTCTCTGCCTTGCCAAATTGCTATTTGGCAGGCAGAGTAACTCTTGTAGATGTACATATGAGGACTTCACTTACTGTGGTTCTGCTGCATCATGCAATTGTACTCTACAGTTATGTAGCTACTCCACACATTTGGACAAGTCCCTGATAAAACTGTTTTCCATTATGCTTCCTTAAACTTCAATTTTGAGTCAACATCATTGTTCTAACTTTATGAGTGCTATTGTAGACTGCTTGACAGTGTAGAGATGCATTTGTGTTGCTACCATACAGGTGCCTCACATGCAGGGTGGTTCCATTTAGTCAACACTATTAAATTATCAACCATCATATAATAAAATTATACAGTGAAATGTCAGTATAAGGAATGTGTTTAATGAAATTTTTGGATCTAGAAACCCCTGCCAATTTCTTATTCATTTCAATGCAAAAATGTTTCAGTTTAATGTTTTTTCATTCAACAAGTATATTTTACTTGTTGAATGAAATACTATAATTAAAAAATTAGGATAATTTAGTTAAATGCATCAGTTTAACATAATGAAAATTCTATATGTTACAAAATAATTGTTTCATTATAACAAAATCTATAAATGCATAAATCATTCATTATTAGTAAATGGTGAATATTATGTCAAACAGTCTGGCAACATTAATTTTAATCTTTGGTTATGGTTTTGTTTTGATGTTATTACTCTACAGTTTATTTCTTTTTAAGTTTATAAGAAAAATGGAGATAAGTCAAAAACAAAAGCAGTTTTCTTTGAAGAGAATAATAATTTGCACGCTATCTAATGTTTTATTACATTAGATAATATGCAAAAAGATATTAAATAAAACGATGTGCCTGATGACATACTGGAATGCTGTGTCACAGATTTTATCGAAAAAACTTTGATTAAAGAAACAACACACAAAAATTAGACTATTTTTAGCAGAAAATAATGGCTTCAAGCAGAAATAACAGTAAAAGAGGTAGGATTCCAACTAATTGGTACTACTACTGTATATTGTTATTTCAGTTGTTTGCTCGTAATATTTTTTGATAATTTTTATTACAGATTAATTTTAATTTAATATAATTTACATTCTTAAAATGTGAAATTTGGTTCCATATAAATTCTAATAGATAAATTGCATTTTTAAAAACTTTCTTAATTCAAAAAGTAAGAGATTATTTTATTATCAATAAATTTTTTTCAATGTTGTATTTTTGACTGTATTTAAATAACAAAGTTTCAGTATATTGAAAATATTTCGATGGTTCCCTCAATTTTGTTATACTGACATTTCACTGTATAATAAAATACAGTGAATTTTTAACTTTAAATAATGAAGATCATTACTTTCATGTTAATAAATTCTTAAAATCTTGGATTAATATTAACCAGTATTGGGGTGTTGATTTCTAGCAACTATTTCAATATCTATTTTTGTAATGTTCAGCATTTATTAAATATATCTAACATTTCCACTAAGTTTTCTTTTCTTTTTTTCTTTTAAATGTAGAATAATTTATGTATTTATTTTTATACTTTCACCATCATTTTACATACATTCCTAAACCATTTTAGATTTATGTTGTAAATTTAATCACTTTTTTTTGTTTAGAATTACATCATATATACAGTATTTACAACAATTCTTTCATTTATGTCAATTCTTTTAACATTTATTTTTAGTACTTTAAATCTTTTACTGTCTTGCTTTTCCTTCATTAATTTGTTGTTTATAAAATTTATTAATGATAATTTTCATAAATAAAAGAAATTAAATTCTATTGAACAAAGGTTCAAATTTAATAAACTTGTTAATAAATGTTAATAAATCCAAAATTTTGTTAGTGTCTTAAGCAGTAGTAAGTATATTCAAAAAATGTTTGAAAATAATAATTTTTAAATATTATAAAATTTTTACTGCCTTTGTTTAGGAAGTAAACAATGCTTTAGAAGTTACTTCTCAACAAGTCATGCAAGTAATTCCAAGGTGAAAATCATTTCATATTTTAATATGCTTGTGAAATGATATATTTTAAATTTTACCAATAATAGTGATGATTTATTTTTATTTATAATTATTGTTTTAATTAATATTTTTATATTTTTAATCATTCATTTTTTTAAACAAATAGAATAGTAAGGGAATTGGATGCAATGAGAGAAGAAGCATTGCTTTTAAAAGAACAAATGAAAACTGTAAAAGATGATATTACAAAAGTAATTATAAATATATTTAATTTATATTTTCTATAAAAGAATTATTGTAATTATGTGTTATTTTTGTTGTTAAATATTTTCTAAAAATTATTTTAATTTTTTAGAAATATTTTAGAATATCCATTTTTGAGAACATTATTAAATAAAAATTATCTATGAGTATATATCTCCCACATAAAAAATTAAATGACAGAGTTTTAACTCTGTCATTTAATTTTTCATTTTACTAATGAGAAGTTAAAGTTTAAATATTTAAGTAAAATACAGTTCTAACCTAACATAGAGTTAAATATAGTAAGAATTCTGTCATAAGAGAGTAGAATAAAAGTACAAGAACTGTATTCAGTAATATAGCATATAATGTAAAAAAGATTTTAATAAATGAAAAAGTAACCAAAGTATGAACCAAAAAAAACCCTACATATGGATATAGAGAGACCTTGATTATGCTCTTTTAACTCAATATTAAATTGGTTGTATTTGGAGAAAATTGAAACTGTGGAAAATTCATTATTTATTATTATTAGTTAATCTAATTAAGAATAATGATGTTCGTTATTATTACTATATTGCTAGTTTCATCTCAGATAAGAATCCCTATTAAAAATTGGCAAATACCATAACCAAAAAGATTTAACCTGCAATCTAATGAACAAAGACCAATTCTTAACTCATTTATATGGTTAATAATATATGTTAAATAACACATAAACATATGCACACAGAAATGTATAGTAATATATTAATATATATTAATTAGTTCATTTTTTCTATATTAATAGTTCATTTTTTGTGACAAAAGTCCTGACTTTTCTGAAATTCTTGTTTTTTTGTGATAAAATTGTGAAGTTTCATTTGTCGCTTTTTTCTTTCCTTAATAAATGTCGGTAGCAGAAGATCACATCCAAAATGCCTCATTTTGCTTTTGCACTCCTTTCAAAATCTGGATCATTCGCTACAATTTGATCAACAATTTTGGTTATCGTTACCAAACTTTTTACTGAGGAAATCTGTAGAGACATTTTTTGGGTTCTTCATTTTCAGAATCACTATTTTCCAGTTCTACATGGATTTCTTGTTCTACCAGGTCTTGAAAGTCATTGTTGCTAAGACTCTCACCAGAAACCTGCAGTAATTCCTCAATATCCTTCTTGTCTACATTTCCTAGCCCTGCTGTATCATTAAGTTGACAATTTAGTCAACCTAACAATACAGTAATAGGCTCTTCTCGTTGAGAATTTTTGGATACCTTCATCCATAACTTCTTCCACACTTCATTCGTTCATTTATCAGTTAATTCTTGCCAAGCAAAGTCAATATTGCCTATGACATTCATGATGATATATTTTTTCCAAAATTGCACCAAACAAACATATATTTAAAGAAAGTACATCTTTTTGCTACCTTTTTCTGACTGGTTTGTGTTCATAAATAATCGTATAATGTACTAATCAATAAAATGCCATGATAATTTAAATCAGCATAAATTTTGAGCTTTTTTTTTAGGCTTCAAGCAGATGGCATGATATCAAATCAGCGTTAAGCAGGGTCTTACTGTATTTATATATAAATGTTTATAAGAAAAACATTTTAACATGTAATTAACTTCAACATTTTATTCTCTTTTCAAATAAAAATTCTATTTGTTTTTTAGTACATTTATGATTATTTTTAATAATATTTTTAAAAATAATAAATATACAATATTAATATCAATATTTTATATTTTTACATTTTATAATAAATATTAACGTGCTCTAATATATTTTTAAAAATATGAATAACATAATAATTTTTTTTTTTTTGAAATATTGTTTTTTTGAAATGTTGAAAGTGGAGGTGAATATCCCATATTATAATTATACGAATGAAAACGTGCCCAACGCAGTGCATAAAATTCTACAATGGGGACTTAAGTACATCCCGCCTACCAACACCAACCTCTTCCAGTTGATCCCAGCTACGTTAGCAGCACTCAAGTCTTGCCAGAAGGACCCTACATGTTCGCAAATGGAATTGTTCGTAATTACAAAGCTTGCTACGGCAAAACAAAGATCCAGCAAGCCCAATGGTTTTGTGGACCGTCGAGTGGTAGAACACTTCCTTGCGAAAGCCAACTTTAGACTCCTAATCTCTGACAAGGACCGGAGGTTTTGTGCTGTGCAGAGAGAATGACTTTTTAACCAGGGCCAACGAATTTCTAACGCAGTCACATTCCTCGGAGATGAGTGAGGACCCTACGCCGATGGTATTAAGGAAGGCAAGAAGAATTATCGCCTTACCGGGTGTTTCCTCAACCCTAACTGGGTTGCTTGATCCCCCTCCAATGTTGCGTGTCCAAGGTTGTTCTTTCAGCCAAAAACACATAAGACAAACTGGCCGTTACATCCGCTGGTAAACAAGCGGTCTCATCCCACCTACTATTTAGAAAAAGCACTTGCCAAATTCCTACGCGCAATAGTTCCGGGATCCCCATATGTTACTCCCTCTTCTGTGGAACTTAATAGATTGGTCAACATCATCTGAATTTGATTTGTGTGACTTAAGGAAGGACAATGCTGAGATATGTGAAATTTTGTTCAACTTTAGGAATAGAAAAATGTATTATATTGTATAGAGATGGGACTGACAATAACATCTGATTAAATTTATCAAATCAAAATAGATGCTTATTATAAATCTAAATATTGTATATATTATATTTACACCTAAATATATATTTTTTAATATTATTATTCTTTATAAGTTTATATATGTGTAATTCTTTTATGAAGACTGTAAATATGATTTAAAAATAAAAGCCTATTTAATTAATAGTATTTACTTAATTTTATATTTTGTTTACTAATTGAAAAATAAATATTTAACAGGTTGAACATGATTCTACTAAGTCAATGAAGACACTTCTTTTGATTGATTCTGTGAAATCAAGAATGCAAGAAGCAACCAAATCGCTAAAAGTATTTTATATTGTTTGATAACTTCATAATGAAAAATGAAATTATTATCCTAATTAATCATACATGTTTTAACTGCAAAAATATTTAAGATTACAAGTTGTAATATTAGACATCAATAAACAAAATTAATGGTAAAATATAATAATAGTAATAATCTATATTTAATAGGAAGCCGATAATTGGTCAACTTTATCTGCTGATGTGGAAGATGTTTTCCAAACTGGTGATATTAATGCTGTAAGAATTATGATTTAGATAAGAAAATAATGAATTAAAATTTTATTTTGTGATGAAATATATTTTAAATTTTAGATTGCTGCAAGACTAGTTGGCATGCAAAATAGTTTGGTAAGTTGTTTTTCTGTTCTATATTATTTTTATTTTACAAATTAAAATTATATTTAGTATTTTCTTTAAAAGAACTAAATGAGATATTACTATCAGATTTGGTTTGAAACAATTTATTCAGAAAATAGGGTATGTGGGATTGACTGTAATCTTAACTTAAACACACAGTTTTATATATTTTATAAGTTAAGTAAGAAATACTAATTTTAAATTTAAAAAATATATACATAAAATGAAGAATATATAAATTGTAAAATGCCTTATTTCTGATTTTGTGATATACATTTGTTATAAATTTTTGATCATTTAAAAATCAATCAATTCAAGAAGCAATTTCATTAAATTGTAAAATGTGTATGTATCAGGTTGTAAAGGTGAAATGTAATTCTGAAAAAATTTTATTGGTATTAACTCAACAATGATTACAGTCCAGCCTGGTAGGTAATCATCATCAATATCAATCATATCTCATCATCCTTGTTGCAAACTTTTAATCCCAAGAGCCTAGAATGATGGGTTTTTCTTTAAAGAAAGTTTAAAGCACCAGGTGTTGTCATTGAACTGTATATTGTCAATATGGTTCTGCAGATATGAAATAGATGGTAGTCGGTGCCAAGTCCAGGCTGTGAAGTGAATGAGGCAGAACCTCCCAGCCTAAACTGGTCAGCTTCTCTAAGGTTATCTTTGATCTATGTGCTGGCACATTATCATGGTGTTATTGGACTTTGTTAGCTTTTGGACAAAGTTCTTTGATATTGGTGATCCAAATGTTCACAGTAGACTTCTTTTGTAGCAGTGCTATTATTTGGAAGCTACTCCATCATGATAATGCCAAACAAATACAAATAATTGCTTTATTCTGCTCCATTGATCCTTTGACATTTACAACAGCTGGTTGTCCTTTGTTCACTTTGTAAATGCTTTAAAAAATGCTTTGCAGATGAGATTGTGAGTCTTCATTGCATTGTGGCCACTTTTGAAGTGATAGAGCAACAGCTTATGAATGTGTTGTTTGGAAGTTTCATATTGTCATGCATTGTTGATGCATCTATTTCCAATGAAATATTTAATCTTTCTTTGATTATTTTACTTATATACCCACATCAAACATTATTATAAAACATAAATATGCAAGCACATTTTAGATTCAAACATTTTGTTAAAAATAAAATGAAAAGTATACTTTTTATTTATACAGTTTAATATCATCTTTTTCTAGATTTGATTCATTTTTAAATTATTAAAAATTTTGTAACAAATACATTTCACAAAATGAATAAAATATTTTGCAATGCATATATTCTTTATTTATCAAGAAATTGATGATGAAACAAAGAAATTAAGTAAGAACAAAGACTATATAAGCTAATTTTATAAATTGAAATGGAAATAATATATCTTTGAAACTGTCTATCTCAAATCTCGCAGGAATGAGAAAAAAATTTGAGAAGACAGTTTTGAGATATAGAGGTTACTCCACAGTAAACAGTAATACGGTTTATTGGAGGTATGGTTTTTTATTAATACAATAGCAATATAGTACATACCTGTATTAGGTATAAATAAAACATTTTTGACATACCTTAAATGAAATAGTTTGTCAATAGTTTCTGATGTCTGACTTTCTTCATCCAATAAGATGCAAGCCACAGTCATAACTTCAGTGGTTTTGCAGATTTCAAAAGATGCAAAATATTGGAAAAGCTTATAGTAGAAAATACTGTGAATTATTTCCAGCACATTTGGATACATGTAATAATTAAGCAGCTTTTTAGTTGTTATTTTAATATGAAATATAATATTACATATTGAAAGAAAAATTTTACATAGCTAAGTAAATAATCTTGACATATTATTAGTGTGCAAAAATTTTTTTAATAAGGTTCATTCTTTTATTAGAAAAGTATTGAAAATTAAATCAGTTGCCTTCTTCAGATTTAAAAGTCAAAAACATTAATAATTTAAAGAATACATTTAAAAATTTTGGGATCTAGAGAGAATAATTGTAATTTGTCAAAAGAGCATGTGTTTAATGTAGTCAAAATTTGTAACTTATTGCCTACCAAAAAAAAAGAATAGAATAAATATTATATAAACTACTAACTGCTGAATAAATATATTTCAAAATNATGTATAAAAATTTGTAATAAGATACATAATGCGGTTATAATAAAATATTAATTTTAATTAATTTAAAGTGTGTTAAAATATGGCAATAGTCGCACAATATGTATTTATATTTTAGAAAATACAAGGGAAGCGGTGCTTCCACCACTTCCAAGGATGGCATGCCACTGCTGTGTAATAACTGTCCTCTTACAGAGCACTTCCACAGAAGAGTCAGTCACATAGATTGGTCACAGTCCTCTAATCATGTACTTTGAATGTTTGCAGCAAGCAAAGAGAACTTGGAAATTTAAAAAAAATTAATGGCATTTCTAGATGGTCTCTTAGATGGACACCTTTGCAGACATGCCAAACAGGACCTCTTCCATATAAGAGGAGGGATCTCACTGTCTGTTACATTTATAGTCAAATTCTTTTAACTCTTTAAACATAGGCATTATTTTTAGTCTAATTTTGTCCATGGAGATAATTGCACAAATAAAATGTTTTTTAAAATTGTATATATTTTTTGAATTTATGATAGAATCAATTTGTTTTTATTTTTAATTAAACATTATACCTAATGATCAATATTATTTTGGTGTGATTTTATAATATTAAAATGTTAACATGAAAATTGCAAATTATTAACATTTTTAAATTATTTTTTAAATCTAGTTCTATTTACTTTGTTAGACAGTTAGCCGTGATTTTTTACTTTAAGAAACAAACTGTGTCCTGTTTACAATAGAACCATAGTTAGAAAGGTTTTAAGTGAATGATCTTTTTCCCCTGAGAGTATCAAGTTTCAACCATGCTAATGCAGCATGTGATGTGATGATTAGTGAAAAAAGTTTAAATTGCATTAATCAAAGGTCAACTGTATATTTTCGTTTTATAATACATATAATGAAAGAAAAACATTAATAAAAAATAAATGAAATCAATAAAAACAGCAAAAAGTGTTACTATGTTGTTCAACATGGAAATAAAATGCCGTTTTAGCAATTTGGTTAATTCTCCATGACATTAACTCCTGTAAAATGGAAATGATTGAACTTTCCACTGGATGAAATCAGTGCAGCTATTTGTAGATATTGTAATGGTGGGGACCAGTTCTCTGATGAAATCTATGTAAAACTTGTATTGAATGTGTGGTTCAATTGAACTTTATGTTTATTAGAAAACAGGTTTATAAATAAAATATATATTTAATTAACAGTTTTAAAATATTAAAAAGTTGGCTCTATCTTGTATCCATAAAAATAACTACTTTTAAACCTATTTAGATGAATCCATTCATAAGGAAAGGGTTGTAAAAAACAGGTCAAGTTAACTCATCTCCAGTTATTGAAAGGTTAAAAGTATCATCTTCATCTTCTCTTCATCTGTTTTATTTGGCACAAAATGTGCCGCATGGTTATGCATAGCATTACCAGGCAGCAGATACAATATAGATTGGCAGAGGGTACATAGGTGAATTACATAAAATACAAGTGCAGAAAACTGCATACAATAAGTAATAATCATAAAAATGGAGGATACATGTGAAAAATATAGAGATAGACAAAAATTTCTACATTATATACAGATGGTGAGCATGAAATACATATAATGGTAGTACATATAATGCATATTTACATAAGGCATTTACAATAGTAAAAAAGAGGCAGCAATGACAGAAACAGATAGTGAGAACTAAGCTGCAGTACAATAGTGATCTTGTTGTACATGGCAATTAACTGCTTGAAATAGGATAAATGTTCTTGTTGTTTATGAGATGCTTGCACTTGCATGGCTAACTCTCCCCCTTGTCCAAGATGGCGAACCTCAAGAAGTGGCGAGGCATGGAGAGCATGGGACAATGGAATATGTAGTGCAGCGGAGTATCAGGAACATCGCAGATGGTGCAGAGATTACTATTATGTAGAGTGAACCTGTGGAGGTAGTTGAAGAAGCAACTGTGACCAGTGAAGAACTGGGTTGTAGTTAAGTCCAGTATGATCCAGGTGGTGTTAAACAGATCCTTAATAATAGGGAAGAACTGGTAGCAGGTAGAATTGTGATTAATATCCCATTGATGTTGCCATATTTGTAGTAGGTTTTCCCAAAGAATATGCTTAAGATGAGAAGGAGATAATTTATCATAGGTCTCCTCTACCTCTGGGTCAGCAGCAGCAGCAGACTTTGCCAAGAAATCTGTACACTCATTGCCAATGGTCCGATATGAGCCTTAGTCCAGGTGATGGAAGTAGCTGTTGTTGGAGTTTACAATGATGCTATGAATGTCATTGGTAACAGGGTGGAGGGAATGACTGTGAATAATCCTGGTAGCAGACTGATTGTTGGTAAAGATAGAGAAGTGCTGATTATTGTAGTTCAAATCTGTCCATTGTATAGCATGCAGAATGCCAATTAGCTCAGCTTGAAATATACTGCAGTGAGATTGTAACCGTTGCTGCTTGGAGAAAATTTCAAGATTGTTTTGTTAGACAACAAACCTGCAGCCAGTACCCACAGAGGATTTAGAGCCCTCCATAAATACATTAAAACAGTTGTTGGTGGCTGGAGCTGTCATGTGGAGCTTGATGAGGGTAGGGTTCACAGAAGCATAGAGGGACATAGGAGTCTCAATTGAATTGGCTGTAATACAGATAGAATCGATGTTGAGACTATTGCCCTGCATCAACTTCACCTTGTTGGATAACATATTAGTAACATTTATGGGTGGTTTTTGGAGATAACTTGCAGGGTTAAGAGCAACACAATAGAATACTCTAGGAAGCATAGAGCTGCATACAATTTAGGTAAGGGGAGAGTTAGATGTAGATATGAGGAAGGCAAGGAGAGCCTGGACTGCCAATGTGAAATTGAGTCTGTCTAAGCTCAGTCTAGCTATATATTCTGATATCTTCACTGACATGTAGAAATTGCTGTAGCACAGCTGCTGATTAAATCTACACATTATGTAAGAAATGGTAGTTTCTCTGCCTTGCCAAATTGCTATTTGGCAGGCAGAGTAACTCTTGTAGATGTACATATGAGGACTTCACTTACTGTGGTTCTGCTGCATCATGCAATTGTACTCTACAGTTATGTAGCTACTCCACACATTTGGACAAGTCCCTGATAAAACTGTTTTCCATTATGCTTCCTTAAACTTCAATTTTGAGTCAACATCATTGTTCTAACTTTATGAGTGCTATTGTAGACTGCTTGACAGTGTAGAGATGCATTTGTGTTGCTACCATACAGGTGCCTCACATGCAGGGTGGTTCCATTTAGTCAACACTATTAAATTATCAACCATCATATAATAAAATTATACAGTGAAATGTCAGTATAAGGAATGTGTTTAATGAAATTTTTGGATCTAGAAACCCCTGCCAATTTCTTATTCATTTCAATGCAAAAATGTTTCAGTTTAATGTTTTTTCATTCAACAAGTATATTTTACTTGTTGAATGAAATACTATAATTAAAAAATTAGGATAATTTAGTTAAATGCATCAGTTTAACATAATGAAAATTCTATATGTTACAAAATAATTGTTTCATTATAACAAAATCTATAAATGCATAAATCATTCATTATTAGTAAATGGTGAATATTATGTCAAACAGTCTGGCAACATTAATTTTAATCTTTGGTTATGGTTTTGTTTTGATGTTATTACTCTACAGTTTATTTCTTTTTAAGTTTATAAGAAAAATGGAGATAAGTCAAAAACAAAAGCAGTTTTCTTTGAAGAGAATAATAATTTGCACGCTATCTAATGTTTTATTACATTAGATAATATGCAAAAAGATATTAAATAAAACGATGTGCCTGATGACATACTGGAATGCTGTGTCACAGATTTTATCGAAAAAACTTTGATTAAAGAAACAACACACAAAAATTAGACTATTTTTAGCAGAAAATAATGGCTTCAAGCAGAAATAACAGTAAAAGAGGTAGGATTCCAACTAATTGGTACTACTACTGTATATTGTTATTTCAGTTGTTTGCTCGTAATATTTTTTGATAATTTTTATTACAGATTAATTTTAATTTAATATAATTTACATTCTTAAAATGTGAAATTTGGTTCCATATAAATTCTAATAGATAAATTGCATTTTTAAAAACTTTCTTAATTCAAAAAGTAAGAGATTATTTTATTATCAATAAATTTTTTTCAATGTTGTATTTTTGACTGTATTTAAATAACAAAGTTTCAGTATATTGAAAATATTTCGATGGTTCCCTCAATTTTGTTATACTGACATTTCACTGTATAATAAAATACAGTGAATTTTTAACTTTAAATAATGAAGATCATTACTTTCATGTTAATAAATTCTTAAAATCTTGGATTAATATTAACCAGTATTGGGGTGTTGATTTCTAGCAACTATTTCAATATCTATTTTTGTAATGTTCAGCATTTATTAAATATATCTAACATTTCCACTAAGTTTTCTTTTCTTTTTTTCTTTTAAATGTAGAATAATTTATGTATTTATTTTTATACTTTCACCATCATTTTACATACATTCCTAAACCATTTTAGATTTATGTTGTAAATTTAATCACTTTTTTTTGTTTAGAATTACATCATATATACAGTATTTACAACAATTCTTTCATTTATGTCAATTCTTTTAACATTTATTTTTAGTACTTTAAATCTTTTACTGTCTTGCTTTTCCTTCATTAATTTGTTGTTTATAAAATTTATTAATGATAATTTTCATAAATAAAAGAAATTAAATTCTATTGAACAAAGGTTCAAATTTAATAAACTTGTTAATAAATGTTAATAAATCCAAAATTTTGTTAGTGTCTTAAGCAGTAGTAAGTATATTCAAAAAATGTTTGAAAATAATAATTTTTAAATATTATAAAATTTTTACTGCCTTTGTTTAGGAAGTAAACAATGCTTTAGAAGTTACTTCTCAACAAGTCATGCAAGTAATTCCAAGGTGAAAATCATTTCATATTTTAATATGCTTGTGAAATGATATATTTTAAATTTTACCAATAATAGTGATGATTTATTTTTATTTATAATTATTGTTTTAATTAATATTTTTATATTTTTAATCATTCATTTTTTTAAACAAATAGAATAGTAAGGGAATTGGATGCAATGAGAGAAGAAGCATTGCTTTTAAAAGAACAAATGAAAACTGTAAAAGATGATATTACAAAAGTAATTATAAATATATTTAATTTATATTTTCTATAAAAGAATTATTGTAATTATGTGTTATTTTTGTTGTTAAATATTTTCTAAAAATTATTTTAATTTTTTAGAAATATTTTAGAATATCCATTTTTGAGAACATTATTAAATAAAAATTATCTATGAGTATATATCTCCCACATAAAAAATTAAATGACAGAGTTTTAACTCTGTCATTTAATTTTTCATTTTACTAATGAGAAGTTAAAGTTTAAATATTTAAGTAAAATACAGTTCTAACCTAACATAGAGTTAAATATAGTAAGAATTCTGTCATAAGAGAGTAGAATAAAAGTACAAGAACTGTATTCAGTAATATAGCATATAATGTAAAAAAGATTTTAATAAATGAAAAAGTAACCAAAGTATGAACCAAAAAAAACCCTACATATGGATATAGAGAGACCTTGATTATGCTCTTTTAACTCAATATTAAATTGGTTGTATTTGGAGAAAATTGAAACTGTGGAAAATTCATTATTTATTATTATTAGTTAATCTAATTAAGAATAATGATGTTCGTTATTATTACTATATTGCTAGTTTCATCTCAGATAAGAATCCCTATTAAAAATTGGCAAATACCATAACCAAAAAGATTTAACCTGCAATCTAATGAACAAAGACCAATTCTTAACTCATTTATATGGTTAATAATATATGTTAAATAACACATAAACATATGCACACAGAAATGTATAGTAATATATTAATATATATTAATTAGTTCATTTTTTCTATATTAATAGTTCATTTTTTGTGACAAAAGTCCTGACTTTTCTGAAATTCTTGTTTTTTTGTGATAAAATTGTGAAGTTTCATTTGTCGCTTTTTTCTTTCCTTAATAAATGTCGGTAGCAGAAGATCACATCCAAAATGCCTCATTTTGCTTTTGCACTCCTTTCAAAATCTGGATCATTCGCTACAATTTGATCAACAATTTTGGTTATCGTTACCAAACTTTTTACTGAGGAAATCTGTAGAGACATTTTTTGGGTTCTTCATTTTCAGAATCACTATTTTCCAGTTCTACATGGATTTCTTGTTCTACCAGGTCTTGAAAGTCATTGTTGCTAAGACTCTCACCAGAAACCTGCAGTAATTCCTCAATATCCTTCTTGTCTACATTTCCTAGCCCTGCTGTATCATTAAGTTGACAATTTAGTCAACCTAACAATACAGTAATAGGCTCTTCTCGTTGAGAATTTTTGGATACCTTCATCCATAACTTCTTCCACACTTCATTCGTTCATTTATCAGTTAATTCTTGCCAAGCAAAGTCAATATTGCCTATGACATTCATGATGATATATTTTTTCCAAAATTGCACCAAACAAACATATATTTAAAGAAAGTACACCTTTTTGCCACCTTTTTCTGACTGGTTTGTGTTCATAAATAATCGTATAATGTACTAATCAATAAAATGCCATGATAATTTAAATCAGCATAAATTTTGAGCTTTTTTTTTAGGCTTCAAGCAGATGGCATGATATCAAATCAGCGTTAAGCAGGGTCTTACTGTATTTATATATAAATGTTTATAAGAAAAACATTTTAACATGTAATTAACTTCAACATTTTATTCTCTTTTCAAATAAAAATTCTATTTGTTTTTTAGTACATTTATGATTATTTTTAATAATATTTTTAAAAATAATAAATATACAATATTAATATCAATATTTTATATTTTTACATTTTATAATAAATATTAACGTGCTCTAATATATTTTTAAAAATATGAATAACATAATAATTTTTTTTTTTTTGAAATATTGTTTTTTTGAAATGTTGAAAGTGGAGGTGAATATCCCATATTATAATTATACGAATGAAAACGTGCCCAACGCAGTGCATAAAATTCTACAATGGGGACTTAAGTACATCCCGCCTACCAACACCAACCTCTTCCAGTTGATCCCGGCTACGTTAGCAGCACTCAAGTCTTGCCAGAAGGACCCTACATGTTCGCAAATGGAATTGTTCGTAATTACAAAGCTTGCTACGGCAAAACAAAGATCCAGCAAGCCCAATGGTTTTGTGGACTGTCGAGTGGTAGAACACTTCCTTGCGAAAGCCAACTTTAGACTCCTAATCTCTGACAAGGACCGGAGGTTTTGTGCTGTGCAGAGAGAATGACTTTTTAACCAGGGCCAACGAATTTCTAACGCAGTCACATTCCTCGGAGATGAGTGAGGACCCTACGCCGATGGTATTAAGGAAGGCAAGAAGAATCATCGCCTTACCAGGTGTTTCCTCAACCCTAACGGGGTTGCTCGACCCCCCCTCCAATGTTGCGTGTCCAAGGTTGTTCTTTCAGCCAAAAACACATAAGACAAACTGGCCGTTACGTCCTCTGGTAAACAAACGGTCTCATCCCACCTATTATTTAGAAAAAGCGCTTGCCAAATTCCTTCGCGCAATAGTTCCGGAATCCCCATATGTCACTCCCTCTTCTGTAGTTGCTAAATCCACCATTGCTTCAAGTATTGGGGCACTACAGCCATGCACCTATACCTTCTACAAGCTAGATGTAATATCCTTATATCCTTCTGTGCCCACCTTTGAGGCTGTAATGCTGGCTAATTCGCTGCTTCTAAAAGAGGGCTTTAGCATCCAACAGGTGCTCGATATACGTGATGCCCTCACCTTCGTCACCGAGCACAATTACTTCTGTTTCAATCGAAAGATCTATTTGCAAAAACAAGGGGTCCCAATGGGTTCCCCTTTATCCGCTATCCTAGCGGAACTTGTTATGAGAGAGATAGAGCGCAGAACGTTCGATTTCCCGCTTGCCATCCATTACCCGAGACTGTATTTGCGTTATGTTGACGACATCCTCATAGCATGGGAGGACACAGAGGAGTCGTTCCTCATCTTCATGCAACAACTCGCAAGTATATATCCTTCCATCAATTTCACTTGGGAAAAAGAAAGGGATGCGGAAGTAGCGTTCTTAGACTTGCATATACGTAAATTCGCGGAAGGACTACAATTCTCGGTCTATCACAAATCTGGCATGGCCCCGCACATTATACCAGCTGAGGCCTTTCAGCCTTCTCGATACGTTAACACTGCCATTGCCTCCCTTGTCAGAAGGGCTTATTTACTGTCGTCTACGCAGGAGCTGATAAACGTCGAATTAGAGATCATCGATATGGCGGTACGCGCTGCGGGCTTTTCACGTGCAAAGTTTACGTATGTGCTCAATAAGGTAAACAAGGCACTGTTTCCATGTACTACTTTATGCAGCAAAAGAGAATCTTCAAAGGTTCAAGTAGCGTTGCCTTACTTTGGACCCATATCTTTACGTATCTGCAGAATCTTTAAGCAGCACAACCTTGTTCTACCTTTAACCCCACTTCCAAGCCTACGCAAACTTATTTGCAATGATAGAGACAAATTTTCCATTCTTGAGAAATCGGGGGTCTATGCTGTACCGTTGGAAAATCAGGCAATGGGAGTAAATACAAGATATATCGGGGCCACCACTAGAATGCTTTCCAGCCGCCTTGATGAGCACCAAGACGATGTTATGAGGGGAAGACACACCACCGAGCTCGCAAAAAAGGTACTTGAGCAGGGTTACAACCCGCTATGGTCCCAAGTGGTTATGCTCAAGAGCTGCAAAGATCGAAAAACTGTTTTTATATGGGAATCTCTCCTCACTACCACCTTGGACACTTGCAACACCCCTACCCTTGAGCTGCCCAGTGTATGGGTCACGTTGTATAAGCGATTAAGCGAGTACTCGTAGTCTCTAGAATGCATGCAGCGAGAGCATAGCTCTGCGCATGCGCCAGCTCGCACTTCACGGAGCTATCTGCTCGTTCGGCTTTCGAATTATGTTTAAATTTCTACGTGTTCTTAACGGCTTTAGCACAATTTCAATTTATATTACGCGTTCTATTTTGTGTTCGATAATTTTTGTCTAAATCGCCTGAGGACGACGACAATAAGCTCGTCGAAAGTACTAGCGATAATAAAACGCATATAACGCCGAACTCAGTGTTTTTGTTTTTGTTTATTA